ACGAGAAAACGATATTCTTTACTTAATGCCCACCTGATACACAATACTGGTGCAAAAAATTAGTTCTTTATAAACTTATCTCAATTTTTGTAGTTCGCACCTTGTTATCATTGCGCTGACTTAAGTTCCTTTATTGTATTCACTGATTCTAATAGTTAGCAAGGTACTGCAGTGAGAAGGTGTAAGCCAGGCAATGTTGGGGTACGCTTTCGGTTATGAAATCGTATACATGTTCTTTCTAGCAACTCGTATCACTTGGTGCATCCACTCTTGCTAAGAAAAAATATTACGCTGGTGCATAATATAACCAAGTTAGAAGCGGTAAATGATTGGTTACAGCTGCAGCATCCATGGAGATAAGAAATAATAGCTGTATTTATTAGCAACGTACTGCATTAAAATAATAAATGAGCAAGCGCATTGGAATTAAAATGGATACGTGATTTACTTTAAGCTATAAAATAGTCTTTATGTTGTCTCTGACATCTAACATTACTTAATACGCTTTTAAGAAAAAAAGAATTGGTCTCTGGTACATTGTACTCCCAAATAAAAAGAAAAAAGTCATCAGTATTTGATAAGGTATTCATGTAGATAAAAAGTGATAGTTCTATTACTAGGCAAGGTACGGCAGAGTGTAAGCTAGCGTTAGTTTGTTAAAGGAGCGTCCTTTTTTTTTAAGTAAAAGAGCTTACGTTTTTTCTCCAACAACTTGATATGCTCGCTCTCGAGAAGAAAATATTGCATCACTTAATGCGCCTGCTCTCGAGAACAAAAAATATATAACAAGTTTAGTACAAGCCTAAATAACAAGCTGTGAATCATTGGTCACAGCTAATGCATGCATGTAGATAAAAAATAATAGCTACATCCGTTGATAAGGTACAGTGTCAAAAATGAGTAAGCAAGCGTTAAGCAATTAAAAGGGATACGTGATCTGATTTTGTAGTGGAATAGAATACATGTTTTTTTTGACATCTCACATCACTAGATACGCCCGCTCGCAAGAAAAAAGTATTTTGCGCCGATTTATTATATGTGAACTAAATAGCAAATTAAAAGCCGTTGGTCACAGCTAGCGTATCTCTGTAAATAGGAAACAATAGGTTTATAGGTAATAAGTTAAGCAAGCCAGTGTTGGTCAGTCAAAAGGAGATCGGTTTTTTTTAATAAAAGAGTATATACTCTGTCCAACAACTTATTGCGCCCACTCTCAAGTGAAAAAGATTTTGCTAAGACCCCTTAAATATTTTGCGGAAAAAAGAAAGAAACATCTGCTGATAAGAAATACTCATTCAAGCTTGACCACACTTCTTTCGCTATACGATGAGCTTCTCAGTATCCTCTTGAATCATCCTGATTCCAGAGGTCGATTCGTAGCCAGGAACAAAGGCAGTCCTCGGTACCATCCAACGTCACCCCTAGCGGCATACGGCTCATAAGACCCTACTTTACTGATCGAGTAATTCTCACCACCCACTGCCTAGTTGGTTTCATCCAACGTCACAGCTACTAGCATCCAGTTCACAAGACCCCACGCTTCTGCCCAAGTAATTCTCACCTTCCGATTGCTCAATCTGCCCCTCTACTAAGTGGCCTAATCTCTCCCTCTCCACCGCCTCTTTTACGACCTGGTCGTGCTATAGTTCAAACCTCTTTCCCCCATTTCTGCCTCTTCATCATCTTTTCTGCCCACTTTCACTCCTGAAATGGAGCTTGGCTGGGTGCCAGAACCGCCACAGCTTACTTACTTCCATGAGTCAGAATTAATAAAAGGAAGTTAAATATAATATTCTTCGGAGCTTGCGTTAACTGTATACTGATATAGTTAAAAAATGAGACTTTAAATAGTGCTTTACTCAAATTTTTAAGCTTATTCATAGTTAAGTACTTAAAAAGTTATGATCATTCATTATTGCAGAGGCTGTAAAGTTATAAACACACTTATCAATAAACTGCCTGTAGAACTGCACATACCAGGATATCAGTGTTTGAGGACCAGGAACTAAATAAGCAAAGAGATAAGCTTAGGGTGATCTAGCTACTAGCCCATTAGATCAAGCTTGTAAACAACACTATATAACGTATCCTCAGAAGTAAAAACATTAGGACAAGACACACTTCTGACAAGAGCTTCACTGAACAGGCAAAGCAAAGATTAAAAGCAAAAAACGCTTAATTAGGGGAGAAAGCTGCTACTCTTACCATCACCTGCGCCATGACATTAGAATCCAAACTTGGCACTTGGCATAGGATCGTTGTGTAGTACAAAAGCTAGTAAAGTAAGTAACAATCAAATAAAGAAGAAACAGTAAATCACTTTAAAAAGCTTGATTTGAAGTGCCTCAAAGTCTACGATTACAAGTAGTTGTACTCGGAAAGTTATTAGTTTGACATTAAAGGGAGCTCAGGAGGCTGTAAAAAAAGTTGGTGTTAAAAAAAAATACCGTAATACCTCGAGTATAGCCTATACAGCAAAAAACTGGTGGCTTTTTACCATATCTTATTCCTGCATTTGCTGGCTTAAGTGCTTCAGGTGCTATACTAATGGTATAACTGGAGCTGTCAAGGCTAATAATGATGCTCAAGTTACTTGAAAACAGCTAGATGAAGGTGAACGACATAATACGAAAATTGAAGCGCTCTTTTCGGAAAGGGGCTTTTTTTAAAACCATATAAGAACAGCTTATGTTTACACTGAAGATGGAAAAAAAAGGAGTTTCTGATTTAAAACTGCCTTACCAAGCACTCACAGACTATGACCTTGTATAGTATGCAAAAGTCTTATAATTCCCATGTTTTCGTAGAGTTATTATGAAAAATGCTTTGCCAGCCAATGGCCCACGTTTTTCCGAACCAGCAAATGTCAATCTCGATGATGCGTCGTCAATTCTTTCTTTTTGTTGAAAATTTCTTACAATCAATCTAGCTTTATATCTCCTGTCTGATTAGTTGATATACACCCATTTTTTATCAATAATCTTTTCTTCTTCTCTGGTCAGTCTACTAATTCATTAGTCTATTTTATAATAATGCAATTTATTTCCTTGCCCATAGCTTCTTTCCAATTTACACACTCTCCATTGCTTATTGCTTCCTTGTAATTTTGTGGAGTGTTTGCACTAACATAATTTATGTAATTACATGTTACATAATTCTCCGGCTTATAGATTTCTGGTTCTTTTCGCGTTCTACTACACATTCATATTCTACTATTATTTTTATTTGTAGTTTTATTACTCTTTTCAGTTGTATCATTTTCTTCACTCTAAAAATTTTAATTTTTTTCACCATCAAAACCTACTAATTTAACATTCTCCTCTACAATATCAACATGTCTAGCAGTTATAATTTCATTAATAATGAGTACTCTGTAACCAACAATTTTATACCCTACTTCTATTTCTATTTCTGCCTTTTTATCCCGTTCATTATTTCGTTCAACCTCTGCCTCTCTTACAACTATTTTACTTCTAAACAACCTTATACTATTCAGATTTGGCTTAACTCCCATCATACTATTGTATAAAGTTTTGCTTTCAAAAGTATTCGCTAGGCTTCTGTTTTTTAAGTAAACTGCTTTTTTTACTACTTCTGGCCGAAATTCTCTATCTAATTTTGTGTCAGGTAATTGACACCTTACTGTATCCATTACTAATCGTTTATGTCTTTCTACAGTTCCATTTAATTTATGCACGTATAGAGGGCATAGATCTACTATAATACCTTTCTGTTTTGTAAATTCATAAATACTTATTTAGGAATTCTTCTCAATTATAACATCTCAACTTTTCTCTTTTTTCCTGTCAAGTTTTTTAATTTATTTCTATCATCTACTAAACAATCGTTACTTTCATTCTTAAACTTTATTCTGTATATTTTTGTAACGTTACTGTAATGGTCAACAATAATTAAATAATATTTATCTCTATTATAACTATCTCTATAAGGTCCATTGAAGGATGTTCAGGAGAAAAGTTGAAAACGGAGAAGTGTGCCAAAAAAATGGATGTTATATTTGAGCATGTAAGGAGTGCATATGAATTTTTGAGATTTTTCACCAGGATAAATTTTTGAGAAAAAATAATGAAATATTGACAGCTTAGCACGGTCTCTTATGAGAGAGCAAGGTTGGGTTTGTCTTTTAATTAAAATTAAAGTATATTCTAAATGTGTTGGAATCAAAAAAAGCGTTTTCATAAATACCTTGGTACAGAAGGAAGATTTTCAACAAAAAAAATTATGACTCTCCAGGCATTTTTTAAAAATATAATCAATTACAGTCGTTTAGTTTCAAGTTTGTTGAGTGCAAGAGGAGGTGCACGGTAAAGGGGACCTAGCTGCGAGGGCAGGGAGGACTCCCTGTTCCTTGCCTCACTAAATAAAACTCTCAAACCTTCTTAAATCCATACATAAGATTTCGAAGATATCATTTGCTTTACGTCTATCGTTATGAAATTAAATACTACGCATTTTATTTTTAATACAAGTGCAACAGTTTTTTGTCTACCATGTTGAAAATCTTGTATATGGGGCGTTTCACGCGAAACGTCCCCGGTCCGTTATATAAGCTCTGAAGGTCACTATTTTCAGCTCATATCCTCATTTCGGACTTATTCCTATCCTAAAAAAAATGTTGCAAATAGCATTTGCGACGTATTTTTTAGTCAGCTTTCTAATAATGTGGTTAGTTCTTTGAAAAAATTTCATTGTTACAAAAAAAAAAAAAAAATCAAAACATGCTGTATCTTGAAAAAGGCATTCTTAATAGTTTTTTTAATAAGCTATATGGAAAGCCAAGAGCTTTTTGCATTAAAAACGTCTTTTTGCCCACTGTGCTGTTTCTGAAGAATTCGTGTAAAACAATACCAAAGAGTAGACGTTCGGCCATCTGAACGTCTGCCGAGGCCCGGAATGGTTCAGCGCCACACTCAAGTTAACTATGAATATTATTAGTTAAGAAATACTTTTTAAACAAATATTTTGTGTTTTTTTTCCAGATAAAGTTCCAGATAAAGGCTTCTTGGTTTGATTATCTTGTTTTGCAAAAAGTTGGTACTCAGAGCTCATAAATGTTTTATTTTTAATTTCAATGTCTTATGAATAATTAGAAAGACAGCATAAAATTGCAAAGTACCTAGTGTTAATTTTGCTCCATTTAATAAAGATTTGACTTTAATTCTCCATTTTTTATCCTACTCTTTGTTCAAATAAAAAACTTTTGTCTTCTGGCAATAATTCTTTGCCCCATCGTACAAGTTTCCTGTTGTTAAAATTAGGTTATTAGAGAAAACTTAAAGACTTGCACGTCTTGCACCTCTCTTTTAGTTGGCTTTAATACCGTCACATGCTCCCTTTCCACGAGCAGTAGCAAAAAAATGCCATTTACAATAAATTTTAAAATCTTTTTTGTGGAAAAGTATGTATTTAAAATTGCTCTTATATTTGAAACGTTGACTGGCACTATAAGTTATATTAAATATTTTTTTTACTACAAACTTGAATTTAAAATAACTTATCATAACTTTTTGATACTCATATACAGCAATTATATCATGATTTAGGTTATTGGAATGAACAGCAACACTTTTGTGTTTAAGCTCATATTTTTCTGTCTAATATATTAGAACTGTAAAAATGAAAGCTTTGTTATTGTTTTACTTAAAACTTTGGGTTATATTATGTATAAAAAACGCATAATTTCTCAAAAAATCACAAGTTTCATTAAAGTCTCCTCTTGTAAGTTTCTTTTTTAGTTGGTTAATAAAAAGTGATTATTTTGTAGCAAAATAATCCTGAGTTTTGAGTTTTAATAACTTTTTTCTAGTAAGTCAATAAAATCAAGAGAATTCAAAATTTGTGTAGCAATGGTACATATGTCTGTTTAAAATCACGATTAATATTTAATTTAAAAAATATTATGTTTTCCAAAACATTCAAAAAGATGTGGACGTAACGTTGACATACTGAAACAATCTAGACACTCTGCACCTAAGAAACATTTTTCAATAGAGTAACTGCACACTACCGCTTCAATACAGTCATGGTAGTTCTTAAGAGGCATTTTATTATTCTGCGTTAAAGATTAAAGATTTATAGCTTCAAGAATCAGTTTAAAATTTTCATGATAATCACATACGCTTACATTATGTGTACCACTAGTTCCAGCTAAAACGGAGTGTAATGGCCTTAAGTGTAAAAATTTAGTATACCATACTTTATAACCACTATGCTCTTCCTAAAATAAGCAATAAAGTTCATTTATGTTTCCAAACAAAAATCATTTCTGGACATGTTTTCGTTCACCGTTTTTCCGCCTAACAGATACGGAATTTCTTATACTTGGCATCAATCAACTTATATCGTCCCTTTCATAAAAATTCCTGAATTAAACTATGAGTTCTTCTGGAAGGTACATGCCTTTTTGTTGAGGTGGTATTAGGGAGATTTGAGAGTATAATTGAATTGAATTAAATTGAATTTATTGTTTTGAAGAGCTAAGGGCTAGAACCCTTAATAGCTCAGCTTACTACATGATTATTGCTATCAACAGCAGTTGCCGAAGGTAACTGCAAAACACGTTTACACATATATCAGTTCGAGAGGATTTAAAATTATGTTATATCAATAAAACTAACAAATAGAACTAACAAATGGAATAACAATATCTAAAGGAGTGATAAATGTAAGAGCAATACTGTAAATATAAGATATCCATAAATATAAAGATATATATATA